AAAAGAGAAAAACAAAAAAAAAATTGAAATTTTATTTTATATTTTTAATGACAGGTTGTGTTATTTTAGAAAGCGTCGGATGCGTATTAAAATGTTTACACCTCAAATTTAGATAACTAAACCTTTATTACAAAGAAGTGATATAACACTCGAACGAAATTAATAGTTTATAATACAAAGTAACATATTTAACAAAATTAACAATCAGTAGTACAAATTAAAAACCGATCACATCACATAAGGCTGCTCCTTCTAGATATATGCGACAACTGGGCCAAAATGCAAAAGATTCTGAAATGCTTAGCGGATTGTCGCTGGGTAAAGTTCAGAAATTTGGGACCAAAAATGGTATAGTGGGTCCTCTTTGAACAGCCTCTTCCACATAAATCCGGCAAGATAACTGTCCAAAAGAGTTCGGACGGTCCCATAACGCTCTTTATGAGCTTCTTTGAATTTCTGCCACAGCGACTCAGTAGTGTTGATACAAGCACCAGTGACCGGGTCTATGAAATTCAACCTATGGTTGACTGTCAGGTGCTCGTACCCTTCGGGCAGCTCTTTGGTGTCATTATAAGCTGCCCATTTGTTCAACATAATAGTAGTCCCTGGAAGGACATACTGTCGGACAAGAGGCGCGAGGGTGGCTGCATCTCGGTGATCAACAGCCACGATGAAGCACTTATTGGTGCCTCTCTTGATACCCCTAAAACACCATTGCTGTGGAATAAGCCTTTCGGCGTTATTTTTTCTTTGGGTCAAAACTGTCCCATCAATTTCAACAATCTTGCCCGGACCGCCTAAACTGACGGGATGCATTTGAAAATAAGAAACGCAGACGTCTCGGAAGGATTTAAGGTACGACACGACAGTAGATTTACTTATTGTACTGTCTTTGTCACACCGCTGCCTAAACAGCAGCGCTAACTGCTGTAGCTAGCTTTCAAACTCCTCATCAGAAAGAGTCAATTTCTGGAGGAGTTCTCTATGTCCAAAGGACAGTAAGCAGTTCATAATGAGAATAGAAGAGTGCAACGAGTATTGAAAATATGGTGAGGACAAAGAAGATTTCTATGTTTTGGCTTTACATAGTTACTTACAACAAAAAGGTTTGTGAACTGAAAAGTAGAAATTAAAGTGTTAAAGCAAATTTAAGTGTTACTGTTAGATGTTTATGTAATTAAAAGTTGGCTGATAAAGTACAGATTGTACTGGAGAGGAGAATTTAAAGTCTTTTCTCTTTTTGCTCACCGGCAAGCTGCAAAAAAATTTGAAAAATGTTGTCGTCATCTTCTATTACTTTTCCTCCGTTATGGTGGCAATACAGCTCATCGAGAACTGGTGGAAAGCAAAGGTTTGGGGAGCAGAAGTGGTACTGTTGTCAAACTTTGGTGATTGAAATGATATTCTCAGAGTCAAATATCTGAACAGACATCAACAAAGTGGGTAATTTGACTAATATTCTCAAGTCTGACAATTTAACGAAAAAGCAGGAATGCACCCAGCAAAACCCGATGGTGCCACCAAACTAAACCAGTGCCAACTTCCCTCGATAAAAAGCAACTTAGCAAAGAGCTCAGTATAGCCCCCTATAAAAATCCATTTTTTTGAAAAATATACTTCAAGGAACCTATGTGCAAAAAACAGATAAAATTATAAGATCCATACATTAAAAATTCCAATGCAAAATCAG